TTTCCCCTCCTTGTCAAATCCCTTTCCTTTTCCTCTCCTCACTTCGCCAGTTTCCCATCTTCCTCTCTCCTCTTCCCTCACTCCCCCCTCTCTCTGACCTTGTTAGATCATGTCTCGATGCAGTGTGGTTGTGTGTGTGTGTGTGGGGGGGGGGGGCAGCAGTTGAGAAGCTGCCTGACTGCAGCACTTTAATAAAACATATGTGTAAGACACTGTGTATGTGTTAAAATGTGTGTGTGTGTGTGTGCGTGCATGCATGTGTACGCATCTGAATGCATGTGTGTGTGTGTGTCTGGGGGCAAGGCTTTGTGTGTAGATGCCGTAAAGGCTGAATGAGAGAGATAACAGCTGACCCAGGGCAACACTCTAATTGGCCCATGCACTCACTCTGGATGTTGCTCTCTCTCTCTCTCTCTCTCTCTATCTCGCTCTCTCTGTCTCTCTCTCTCTCCATCTCTATCGCTTCCTCTCATGGGATCCCTCACTTTTCCCCCTGAATACTTTAGTACAGGAAGGAGAGGAGAGGAGGATTGACATGAGATTAAGAGATAGACAGGGCCTTGGGCTATGGGGTTGAGACTCTTTAACAAAAGCCCTCGCACCTATGCGCCAGCACGCGCATGAACACACACACACACACACACACACAAACACAAACCAACCATGTCACCCGTGATACAAGTCAGTATTTGATGCCAATCTTTGTCTGGATAGGAGGCCTACGTGGAGAGGGGGGGAAGTGGAGGAGAGGGGAGGAGGGAGAGACGAGTGAAACGGAGAGAGCGAGAGAGAGAGACAGAAAGAGAGAGGGGATAGAGAGAGTCAGAGGTGGGGAAAGGAGAGGAATTAGGTAGGCCAGAGAGAGAGAAGGAGAGAGCACCATCATTTGGTGACGATAAGGAAGGAACCAATGATTTATACTCTAGGTGCTGTTTTGAAGCCACCGCGCCTCCATCTTGGCATTCGTCCACCATTGTAAAAATATGTTTTAAAGCTATAGAAAAGCATTTATTAATTTGTTTTTGCAACATTTATTCTATTGCAGACACCTTAATGTACAGTACCAGTCAAAGGTTTGGACACACCTACTCATTCAAGGGTTTTTCTTTATTTTTACTATTTTCTACATTGTAGAATAATAGTGGAGACATAAAAAACTATGAAATAACACATATGGAATAATGTAGTAACCAAAAAAGTGTTAAACAAATGAAAATATATTTTATATTTGAGATTCTTCAAATTGCCACCCTTTGCCTTGATGACAGCTTTGCACACTCTTGGCATTCTCTCAACCAGCTTCACCTGGAATGCTTTTCCAACAGTCTTGAAGGAGTTCCCACATATGCTGAGCACTTGTTGGCTGTTTTTTCTTCACTCTGCGGTCCGACTCATCCCAAACCATCTTAATTGGGTTGAGGTCAGGGGATTGTGGAGGCCAGGTCATCTGATGCAGCACTCCATCACTCTCCTTCTTGGTAAAATAGCCCTTACATAGCCTAGAGGTGTTCTGTTGAAAAACAAATGATAGTCCCACAAAGCCCAAACCAGATGTGATGGCGTATCACTGCAGAATGCTGTGGTAGCCATGCTGGTTAAGTGTGCCTTGAATTCTAAATAAATGACAGACAGTGTCACCAGCAAAGCACCCCCACACCATAACACCTCCTCCTCCATGCTTTACGGTGGGAAATACAAATGCTGAGATCATCCGTTCACCCACACCGCGTCTCACAAAGCCACGGCGGTTGGAACCAAAAATCTCAAATTTGGACTCCAGACCAAAGGACAGATTTCCAATGGTCTAATGTCCATTGCTCGTGTTTCTTGGCCCAAGCAAGTCTCTTCTTCTTATTGGTGTCCTTTAGTAGTGGTTTCTTTGCAGAAATTCGATCATGAAGGCCTGACTCACACAGTCTCCTCTGAACAGTTTATGTTGAGATGTGTCTGGGTACTTGAACTCTGTGAAGCATTTATTTGGGCTGCAGTTTCAGAGGCTGGTAACTCTAATGAACTTATCCTCTGCAGCAGAGGTAACTCTGGGTCTTCCATTCCAGTGGCAGTCCTCATGAGAGCCAGTTTCATCATAGTGTTTGATGGTTTTTGCGACTGCACTTGAAGAAACATTCAAAGTTCTTGAAATGTTTCATATTGACTGACCTTCATGTCTTAAAGTAATGATGGACTGTTGCTTCTCTTTGCTTATTTGAGCTGTTCTTGCCATAATATGGACTTAGTTTTTTTTCCCAAATAGGGCAATCTTCTGTATACCCCCCTACCTTGTCACAACACAACTGATTGGCTCAAACACATTAAGAACTAATAAATTCCACAAATTAATCTTTAAGAAGGCACACCTGTTAATTGAAATAAATTCCAGGTGACTACCTCATGAAGCTGTTTGAGAGAACGCCAAGAGTGTGCAAAGATGTCATCAAGGCAAAGGGTGGCTATTTGATATGTTTAAAACTTTTTTGGTTACTACATGATTCCATATGTCTTATTTCATGGTTTTGATATCTTCACTATTATTCTACAATATAAAAAATAGTAAAAATAAAGACAAACCCTTGAATGAGTAGTTGTGTCCAAACTTTTGACTGGTAGTGTATACAGTGGGGGAAAAAAGTATTTAGTCAGCCACCAATTGTGCAAGTTCTCCCACTTAAAAAGATGAGAGAGGCCTGTAATTTTCATCATAGGTACACGTCAACTATGACAGACAAAATGAGAAAAAAAATTCCAGAAAATCACATTGTAGGATTTTTAATGAATTTATTTGCAAATTATGGTGGAAAATAAGTATTTGGTCAATAACAAAAGTTTCTCAATACTTTGTTATATACCCTTTGTTGGCAATGACACAGTTCAAACGTTTTCTGTGAGTTTTCACAAGGTTTTCACACACTGTTGCTGGTATTTTGGCCCATTCCTCCATGCAGATCTCCTCTAGAGCAGTGATGTTTTGGGGCTGTCGCTGGGCAACACGGACTTTCAACTCCCTCCAAAGATTTTCTATGGGGTTGAGATTTGGAGACTGGCTAGGCCACTCCAGGACCTTGAAATGCTTCTTACGAAGCCACTCCTTCGTTGCCCGGGCGGTGTGTTTGGGATCATTGTCATGCTGAAAGACCCAGCCACGTTTCATCTTCAATGCCCTTGCTGATGGAAGGAGGTTTTCACTCAAAATCTCACGATACATGGTCCCCATTCATTCTTTCCTTTACACGGATCAGTCGTCCTTGTCCCTTTGCAGAAAAACAGCCCCAAAGCATGATGTTTCCACCCCCATGCTTCACAGTAGGTATGGTGTTCTTTGGATGCAACTCAGCATTCTTTGTCCTTCAAACACGACGAGTTGAGTTTTTACCAAAAAGTTATATTTTGGTTTCATCTGACCATATGACATTCTCCCAATCCTCTTCTGGATCATCCAAATGCACTCTAGCAAACTTCAGACGGGCCTGGACATGTACTGGCTTAAGCAGGGGGACACGTCTGGCACTGCAGGATTTGAGTCCCTGGCGGCGTAGTGTGTTACTGATGGTAGGCTTTGTTACTTTGGTCCCAGCTCTCTGCAGGTCATTCACTAGGTCCCCCCGTGTGGTTCTGGGATTTTTGCTCACCGTTCTTGTGATCATTTTGACCCCACGGGGTGAGATCTTGCGTGGAGCCCCAGATCAAGGGAGATTATCAGTGGTCTTGTATGTCTTCCATTTCCTAATAATTGCTCCCACGGCAGGTAGCTTAGTGGTTAAGAGCATTGTGCCAGTAACCGAAAGGTTGCTGGTTCTAATCCCCGAGCCGACTAGGTGAAAAATCTGTCGATGTGCCCTTGAGCAAGGCACTTAACCCTAATTGCTCCTGTAAGTCGCTCTGGATAGAAGCGTCTGCTAAATGGCAAATTTATTTATTTTATTTATTTATTTCTTCAAACCAAGCTGCTTACCTATTGCAGATTCAGTCTTCCCAACCTGGTGCAGGTCTACAATGTTGTTTCTGGTGTCCTTTGACAGCTCTTTGGTCTTGGCCATAGTGGAGTTTGGAGTGTGACTGTTTGAGGTTGTTGACAGGTGTCTTTTATACTGATAACAAGTTCAAACAGGTGCCATTAATACAGGTAACGAGTGGAGGACAGAGGAGCCTCTTAAAGAAGAAGTTACAGGTCTGTGAGAGCCAGAAATCTTGCTTGTTTGTAGGTGACCAAATACTTATTTTCCACCATAATTTGCAAATAAATTCATAAAAAATCCTACAATGTGATTTTCTGGATTTTTTTTCCTCAATTTGTCTGTCATAGTTGACGTGTACCTAAGATGAACATTACAGGCCTCTCTCATCTTTTTAGTGGGAGAACTTGCACAATTGGTGGCTGACTAAATACTTTTTTTATTATATTATGATCTAAACATTTAATTAACAGAGAAAATATGTAAAAATGTTCCTTAAAGTATAATTTTTGGAAAGTTATAGTGTTACTGTCTTCACTACAACAACAAAATAAATTTAATTTTGTCCTTGAAACATTTAATTGAAATACTGTAGAATTCCATTAATTCCTATGGAGGACAGCTCCTTCTGGGGAGTGCCAATATGGCTGACCGGTGGCTTCAAAGCCTCTCACTGGCCAATACATAGCATCAGCAATCCAGGGTTTATTAAATACATAATTGGAAGGAACACACAGCCAGGTAGCTAGAGACATACGCACAGCGTTCCCCAACATTCCCCAAGGCCATCCTCGCTGTAATTCAGTTTAATAGGAAAAACTGTTGATGCCTAAACCTTAAACACTTCGAAATTTGACAATTGTGAAACATGGAAGAACTTCTAATTCTGACATGAGACTTTGAGAGCTAGTTGCACACACAACCAAACCCTGATGTGAAATTTCCTACATGGCATTAGGCAATTTGAGCAACACACACACACACACACACACACACACACACACACACACACACACACACACACACACACACTCACCACACATACCGGAAATGAATACAGACATCAGTACACACATCAGTAATTCTGTGCAGCTGGAAGGTGAAGCTGTAATGAAGTCGTTATTCTCCAGTCATTAAGGCTTGTCTACTTCAATCACCCTGAGCTCAGCTCATTTGACACGATCAATACACTACGAGGAGGAGGAGGAGGTGTGTGTGTGTCAGTGTGTGTGTCAGAGTTGCCCTACGGGGACCAATCGTGCTCTGTAAGGCTTGACAGACAGAACACACAGTGTTAGTCTACTATGGAAGCTAATACGCAGTGAGCTGACTTCACTATCGGAAACACTTATATCCAATGCCATCCGGCACTATTAGAAGTCTAATATAAGATGTGGAGTCTGAAATAAAAATGCTGATTTAGAATGTGTTCCCACTACAACAAACCGTGTCACCTATAATGAGAATAAGTGCTTGAACTTTACTAAACAGTTTATCCTACCCACTGACAGTATTGTTTCTTTAGATTGTGTGTGTGTGTGTGTGGGTGTGTGTGTGTGTGTGTGTGTGTGTGTTTCTAGCTTAATTAAGTTTATATTTGGCCACAGTCACATTAGACCATGGTTCCCCAACTGGCGGTGGTTTTATTTGGCCCCCCAAGTGTTCTGAGCAACAAAGAAAACTATATTTTTTTGTGTGGAATTTCATTGTTGAACATAAAAGACTGTAAAAACACCAGGAAATCAGCCCCAAGTGATTTTAATTTAAGAAATCTGTTCCCATGTATTCCTAAAACGCTCTGTACTTCACATGTTTTAGTCAAACATTATATCTGTTTTGTTCTTCTTGCGGTCAATTTGCAGTCAACAAATTATTTGTAATTATGTTCCAGCCCCCCGACCATCCACTCCAGAAAAAATTTGGCCCGCAGCTGAATGTAGTTGATGATCCTTGCGTTAGACTCTAGGGATGTGTAACAAGACAAGCACTGGGGTTATACACAGATTGTGTCTGTGTCTGTTAACTTTCAGTACTCATATTAGCCTTTTCTCTCCCTCTCTCAATTCAATTCAGTTCAAAGGGCTTTATTGGCATGGGAAACATATGTTTACATTGCCAAAGCAAGTGAAATAGATAATTAACTAAAGTGAAATAAACTATAAAAAATGTACAGTAAACATTACACTCACAAAAGTTCCAAAGGAATAGAGACATTTCAAATGTCATAGTATGGCTATATACAGTGTTGTAACGATGTGCAAATAATTAAAGTGCAAAAGGGAAAATAAATAAACATCAATATGGGTTGTATTTACAATGGTGTTTGTTCTTCACTGGTTGCCCGTTTCTTGTGGCAACAGGTCACAAATCTTGCTGCTGTGATGTCTTTCACCTAATAGATATGGGAGTTTATCAAAATTGTGGGTCTGTGTAATCTGAGGGAAATAAGTGTCTCTAATATGGTCATTCATTTGGCAGGAGGTAAGGAAGTGCAGCTCAGTTTCCACCTCATTTTGGGGGCAGTGTGCACATAGCCTGTCTTCTCCTGAGAGCCAGGTCTGCCTACGGCGGCCTCTCTCAATAGCAAGGCTATGCTCACTGAGTCTGTACATAGTCAAAGCTTTCCTTAATTTTGGGTCAGTCACAGTGGTCAGGTATTCTGCCACTGTGTACTCACTGTGTTCTCTCTCTCTCTCTCTCTCTCTCTCTCTCTCTGTCTCTCTCTCTCTCTCTCTCTCTCTCTCTCTCTCTCGCTCTCTCAACCCCACCCCTCTCACAGACTCCTCTCTGTTTAAGGCCAACCCCTGCTCAGAGCCAGGGAAACCGTGTAACCCATGTCTTAACGCAGCCAAGGCCTGTAACCTCAACGAAACCTGCAAGAGACAACGCTCCAATTACATCGCTATCTGCAACAAGCCTCCTCAGCCCTCACAGGCCAACCAGGAGCCTTGCAGCCGCAAACGATGTCACAAGGTGGGTGGGGGTTGGACCTAAGTCTCAAATGACCCTATTCCCTAGTAATACACTACTTCTGACGAGAGTCCCATCACATGATGGATGATGATGATGATGGTGATGATGATGGGAGTTTTTCCTATCCACCGTGCTTCTACATCTGCATTGCTTGCTGTTTGGGGTTTTAGGCTGGGTTTCTGTATAGCACATTGTGACATCTGCTGATGTAAAAAGGGCTTTATAAATACATTTTATTGATTGATTGATTGATGATGAAGATGACAATAATGATTGCAATTATTCCTGTGTGTCCCCAGGCGCTGCGTCAGTTTTTTGAGCGTGTGTCGTGGGAGCTGAGTTACCCCCTTTTGTTCTGCCCATGTCCTGACCAGGCCTGTGCAGAGAGACGTAGACAGACCATCGTACCTGCCTGCTCCCACCAGGAGAAACACAGACCCTCCTGTCTAGAGCTACGGCGCACCTGCCGCTCCGACACACTCTGCAGGTAGGCTACACACACACACTCAAGTGTACACACGCATTTGCACACGCATGCACAAACACACTTCCAAACACACACTCAAGTGTGTACACTCATCCACACACACATGCATGAACACACACTCATACACGAACACACACACACAACCATACACGCAGCGAGCGCTGGGAACAGAATCTTTTGGCTGCCTCATGAATTTGATTTCCTCACTGCCTCCTACATAATGTCCCAAATAACCCAGCGGTTTGTTTGGGTGGTTTGGTGTGTGTGTGTACTGAAATGCTTTCAGGGTGATTTAGAGAGTGATAGAAAGAAAGACAGAGAGCAGAGATGGAGAGAGAAAGAAAAAGAATGAAGGTGAAGGTGTGATTAGGTGATTTTGAAGGAGTCAGGCGCAAGAGGGTAAATCACAGAATAACAGGATTTATTCTGAACCACAGAGTTACGCAGTAATGCGTAAAAACACTCCAGTGCGCCTGTTTTTGCAAGGCACATGAGGAATATTCCCAGCGATACAAAATACACGGTGCTCCACCGAACTTCTCTCTCCTCCACAATAAACAATCACACACAAAGACAAGGGGGCAGAGGGAACACTTATACAGGTACTGATGAGGGGATATGAACCAGGTATGTGTAATAAACTAGACAAAACAAATGGAATGATGAGATGAGGAGCAGCAGTGGCTAGAAGGCCGCTGACAACGAACGCTGAAGCCTGCCCGAACAAGGAGAGTAGGCAGCCTCGGAGGAAGTCGTGACAGAAGGGTAAAAAGAAAGAGAGAGCGAGCAGAGGAGAGAGTAAGAAAAAGAGTGAGCGGGGAAGAGAAAAAGAGAGAGAGAGAGAGAGAGAGAGGTAGATATATTAAGAGAGAGGTAGAGGATGGTAACTGCGGGTATACAGTTGAAGTCGGAAGTCTACATACACTTAGGTTGGAGTCATTAAAACTCGTTTTTCAACCACTCCACAAAATGTCTTGTTAACAAACTATAGTTTTGGGAAGTCGGTTAGGACATCTACTTTGTGCATGACACAAGTAATTTTTCCAACAATTGTTTACAGACAGATTATTTCACTTATAATTCACTGTATCACAATTCCAGTGAGTCAGAAGTTTACATACACTAAGTTGACGGTGCCTTTAAACAGCTTGGAAAATTCCAGAAAATGATGTCATGGCTTAGAAGCTTCTGATAGGCTAATTGACATCATTTGAGTCAATTGGAGGTGTACCTGTGGATGTATTTCAAGGCCTACCTTCAAACTCAGTGCCTGTTTGCTTGACATCATGGGAAAATCAAAAGAATCAGCCAAGACCTCAGAAAAGAAAAGTTAGACCTCCACAAGTCTGGTTCATCATTGGGAGCAATTTCCAAATGCCTGAAGGTACCACATTCATCTGTACAAACAATAGTACGCAAGTATAAACACCATGGGACCACGCAGCCGTCATACCACTCAGGAAGGAGACGCGTTCTGTCTCCTAGAAATTAACGTACTTTGGTGCCAAAAGTGCAAATCAATCCCAGAACAACAGCAAAGGACCTTGTGAAGATGCTAGAGGAAACAGGTACAAAAGTATCTATTTCCACAGTAAAACAAGTCCTATATCGACATAACCTGAAAGGCCACTCAACAAGGAAGAAGCCACTGCTCCAAAAAAAGACAGACTACGGTTTGCAACTGCACATGGGGACAAAGATCGTACTTTTTGGAGAAATGTCGTCTGGTCTGATGAAACAAAAATAGAACTGTTTGCCCGTAATGACCAACGTTATGTTTGGAGGAAAAAGGGGGTTGCTTGCAAGCCGAAGAACACCATACCAACCGTGAAGCACAGGGGTGGCAGCATCATGCTGTGGGGGTGCTATGCTGCAGGAGGGACTGGTGCACTTCACAAAATAGATGGCATCATGAGGAAGGAAAATGATGTGGATATATTGAAGCAACATCTCAAGACATCAGTCAGGAAGTTAAAGCTTGGTCGCAAATGGGTCTTCCAAATGTACAATGACCCCAAGCATACTTCCAAAGTTGTTGCAAAATGGATTAAGGACAACAAAGTCAAGGTATTGGAGTGGCCATCACAAGCCCTGACCTCAATCCTATAGAAAATGTGTGGGCAGAACTGAAAATGTGTGTGCGAGCAAGGAGGCCTACAAACCTGACTCAGTTACACCAGCTCTGTCAGGAGGAATGGGCCAAAATTCACCCAACTTATTGTGGGAAGCTTGTGGAAGGCTACCCGAAACGTTTGACCCAAGTTAAACAATTTAAAGGCAATGCTGCCAAATACTAATTGAGTGTATGTAAACTTCTGACCCACTGGGAATGTGATGAAAGAAATAAAAGTTGAAATAATCATTCTCTCTACTATTATTCTGACATTTCACATTCTTAAAATAAAGTGGTGATCCTAACTGACCTAAGACAGGGAATTTTTACTAGGATTAAATGTCAGGAATTGTTAAAAACTGAGTTTAGATATATTTGGCCAAGGTGTATGTAAACTTCCGACTTCAACTGTAACTTGGGGCAACCTCTGAGTTGGACGCTGATTGGAGCAGGCAGCCACGAACTCATTAGCTATGCAAATATGGTAAATATGTAAATGAGCGGTCCCAGTGAGGGACAATTAATTAAAGAGAAGATTTAGGCAGAACAAAACGCCTAATTATAACCAAATACACACTCACAGATGCTACAGGGGCTAATAAAACAAGGTAGATTGGTCCTATTACTTTTCAAATGTACAAAAATGTATCTGAAATATAGCCAACAACTGTTGTTTTATATAATAACAAAAGAAAGATATGATCCCCATTATGACATACAAGTGTATCCGAAATGCAGCTGTAGCTGCCGTAGGCCTACACATCATTTTTCTGTAGGGAGAGTTTCAGAAAAGCAAACTAAATCAAACTAAGTGCATATTCTATATTCATAGCTGATGTGAAATTACCTAAATGGCATTAGCCAATTTAAATCTGCCGTGAATAAGAGTAAATGGCCACTCCGAGAGAAACACACACTATAGCAAAATAACAGGGAGGGGTGAAAAAGTAGGCTGTGTCATTTTCATAGTATTGACATCACTTTTACAGTAGCCTATAACTCAACGACTGTGTGTAATGCAAGTGAATGATAAGAGTGAATGTTTGCCTATACTACTGCGACATACAAAACGTAAAAAATGTAGGCCTTTCTGAAATGCAGCCATAAGAAAGCATGTAATGTTGAAGCGAAGCCCTACACACACTGTAACCACACCGTAACCATTGATTAAGATCACTTTATTGGTCAATTGCACACAAGGTCCAACCAAAATTTGACTTCAACTTTAAACCCAACTCTTCCGAAAGACACAAATACATTTATTTTGGAGAGGTATTGGGAGCTGCCACACTGGGCGCCCGAGAGCTGTTGTTGTGGGGGGTTAAGTGCCTTGCTCAAGGGCGGAACGGCAGGCAATGGCATCTAGGATTTGATACCAGCACAGCTCACTTGCAGACAGATTTCTCCTGTCGGAACTGGGATATGAACTAGTAACCCTCTGGTTGCTGGCTTGCCTCTCTAACCGCCAGGCTACCTGCCACCCCAGGACCATGGACAGAAGGCTACCACCCGTCAGTGTTATGAAAGGATAATGTTAGATGCACTGCCAATTTCAGCACCACCCAACAGGAGCACCGCGCCAGGGCTCACCTCAGAGCACAACCAATAGGCTACATTGGCCGTTTTCTCATCAAATAATGCAAAGCGGTATATCTATCAATAGCAATTAGACCCGCAAAAGCAAGCAATGACATTAAGTCTAAATAAAAAAAATCTAAAATATGCATTGAAGTAAAAAGCAAACGCCTAAACTATACATGACATTATAAAATCTGCCAAACAACCAGTAGGCTTACATGAGGGAAAACAAATGGTTGTAGCTTACCATTTAGAAGAGTTGCAGCCACCTCGATACTGTGTTGAACCACATGATACGTTTCTGATTCCATTCTCCTTCCTGGAGAAAGTTACTTGTCAGGTCCCTCTCAAATGCCAGCTGTACAACTGGGTTTTTCGTTGATGTAACATGCTGTGTCTCTGTTCACTGAATATGTACTTCAGGGTGGAGTAGGAATATTCACCCATTGCTGTAAATGACCCAAATGTTAATCCATATTTCAGTGCGAACAGCACAGTCGGCATTGCTGACAAAGGCCCGCCGTATCTTGGAAGAACACTGATTTGTGTTGCTGGCTGTGGTTGCGATTTCACTTTGCAAGCCACAATAAACTCCGCTTCTTCTAGTTCAGTTTTGTTAGATCCAACAATGGCTTGACTTTGTTCACATTTAAAAAAAATGTGGCCTCAGGATCCATGGCACACAGAGCCTACACCGCTTGACTATTTGGTTCGCTAAATGGTGAAGACATTTAACCCAGCACGGCATCCAAAGTGCTGAAAACAGTTGTTTACCTCTCATTTCCATCATAATAATCCACTGTGCTTTCAGTACTCTTGCAGAGTTTTACTGATGAGTCTCCG